GACTATCAGTACTAAATATTAAAGTTACTTAAAAACTATAGTAAGAACAAGGCATGTTTTCCTGGAAAGAGTAGTAGACCACTCACTACTATCACGTTATCGTTAGGAAGCAGAACTCCCATGGTGTGCCTGTTTTCTCATCTGTAAGATGAGAATTTATGAAGAGTGAGTGAGTGGGTAGGGCGTGTACGTGTATATATATGTGTGTGTATTTATATTTCATATCATATTTAGCAGTAGTAGACTGCTAAAAATCTTTGACCTAGCAGTAAAAGTAGTATCAGATATAAAGGCTAATTATTTTGTAAACCCGTAATACACATTAGAAAAAATGTTAGGTAATAGTTAAATGTTTGTGAAGAAGGCTGTTATAGAAAAATAACCAAAAGTGAAAATTATAAATAAAGACTGAAAGGTACAACTACATAAAAATTAACACTCTTGGTCTAGTAGGTGGCCTAGAAGTTAAAGTACTGGATCCCACATGGCCGATTGTGTGGTTCAAGTCCTAAACACAGCAGCTTGAAAAGCACACTGGGTGCTTATGCGAGTGTGCCTAAAATCCTGAGAGGAGAATGGAGACAGGATTGTAGGGTGGTCATATCCCCCAAGGGGTGAATCTCATTTCCACCCCCTTCTCTGGCAAGTGCATGTGTCCTATGGCAAAACTTAAAAAAAAAAAAAATTAACACTCCATTGATAAAATAGGTAAACTGACTAAATGATTAATGGCACAGTATACTGTATTAGGAAAACCATTTTTACCATATATAACAGAGGGTACTGTCCTTAATATATAAAGACTTCTTGTGAAATAATTTTTTAAAAGGACTGTAATAGTAGAACACTTAGCCAATGAGCCTATAATTTTCAATAATGAGTTACAGATGACCAAAAGACATTTTAAAAAAGATGGTAAGCTTCACTAGTAATGAAACAATAAAAATTGAATACCACTTTTACCTATACATTTTGTGGTGATTTAAAAAGGTAGCCTACTAAGGACTATTTATAATATATATATACAAATTATGTATCTTTTGTTATATAATAGAATGTTAAATATATAATAAAATATCATACTTATATAAATATAATAAAAGAAAAGATCATATTTAGCAGTAGTAGACTAAAACAGAAAAGTATAGACCCTACTATTTATTGAAATATGGTATGTAATTATGACTGATGATGGGGTGAAAGGGAACTATTAAATAAGTTGTTATTTCAACATAGTTGGTTGAAATATATAGAAAACAGAAATTTTGACCTCTTAAAAAAATCTTTGACCTAGCAGTAAAAGTAGTATCAGATATAAAGGCTAATTATTTTTTAAACCTGTAATACACATTAGAAAAAATGTTAGGTAATAGTTAAATGTTTGTGAAGAAGGCTGTTATAGAAAAATAACCAAAAGTGAAAATTATAAATAAAGACTGAAAGGTACAACTACATAAAAATTAACACTCTTGGTCTAGTAGGTGGCCTAGAAGTTAAAGTACTGGATCCCACATGGCCGATTGTGTGGTTCAAGTCCTAAACACAGCAGCTTGAAAAGCACACTGGGTGGTTATGCGAGTGTGCCTAAAATCCTGAGAGGAGAATGGAGACAGGATTGTAGGGTGGTCATATCCCCCAAGGGGTGAATCTCATTTCCACCCCCTTCTCTGGCAAGTGCATGTGTCCTATGGCAAAACTTAAAAAAAAAAAAAATTAACACTCCATTGATAAAATAGGTAAACTGACTAAATGATTAATGGCACAGTATACTGTATTAGGAAAACCATTTTTACCATATATAACAGAGGGTACTGTCCTTAATATATAAAGACTTCTTGTGAAATAATTTTTTAAAAGGACTGTAATAGTAGAACACTTAGCCAATGAGCCTATAATTTTCAATAATGAGTTACAGATGACCAAAAGACATTTTAAAAAAGATGGTAAGCTTCACTAGTAATGAAACAATAAAAATTGAATACCACTTTTACCTATACATTTTGTGGTGATTTAAAAAGGTAGCCTACTAAGGACTATTTATAATATATATATACAAATTATGTATCTTTTGTTATGTAATAGAATGTTAAATATATAATAAAATATCATACTTATATAAATATAATAAAAGAAAAACAACAGACTTGCACATTTTTATTGTTGTTATATCAGAACATAAAGAGAAAGACCTCATCTGACTTGCGATATCAGGGGTTAGTTTGAGACTGTCCTTCAATTATGGACATAATGTTGACAAGAAGTGAAGAATAAGGGCAGAATTTAGCTCCCTCTATTCTGAGAGGTTTGGCATTGGAGGAAAGAAAGATAAGTAACCATAGCTTTGATTTTGTTGTGGTCTAGGGAAGTCTTTTAAAAAGAGGGATGCTAAGACACTTTGGAAACAGGAAGGGACCAACGGAGACAGAGAATTTGAAGCTGTTAGTCTAGAGACGTAAAGTTGATATAGGAAGGTTCATAGAGAGATTAGAAATAAGGAAGCAAGACTATGTCTCACAAAAAGAGGAGGAAAAGAAGTAAAAGTATATAGATCTCTTTATGTAGGAGAGAGCTAAATTGTCTTCTTCCTTAGCATTGATCTTAGTGAGGTAGTGACCGGTATGGAATTGAGTGCTTGGGGAACCAGGGAAGAAAGTTTATAAAAATTGCTGAATATTTTGTCTGAATATTTTTGTTCTTCTAAAATTCACATCTTTAGTCTTTTTTTTTTTTTTTTGGAGAGATTTTGCTATAGGGCATGTTCTCGCACCAGAAAGACAGAGACAGACAGAGAAGCAGAAAGCAAGAAATCACCTCCCGGGAAGATGACCACGCCACAATCCCTTCTCCTCCATTCTCCTCTCAGGATCTTGGGCACGCATGCACATGCGCCTGGTGTGTGTTTAAGCCACCGGGTCTGGGACTTGAATGGCGTTTGACTACATGGTGAAGCCTTTGGGGAAGTGATTAAGTGATGAGTGCCCTTATAGATGAGGGCTGGAGGCAGCATGCTTGCCTCTACTGTCCATGTAAGGATGCAGCTAGAAGGCCACATCTCTGAGGAAAAAGCGCTTACTAGACACTGAATCTTTTGGCACCTTAATCAAGGATTTTTTTAAAGAGAATTATTTGTTTAATTTTATTTATTTATCATTCTTCTTCAATTTTACCAGAGACAGACAGAGAGAGAGCAGGAGAGTGAGAAAGCAAGCCGCCAGGTCCAGGACTAGAACCATGTGGGAGTCCAGCACCTTAACCACCAGACCACCTGCTGGCTCCTAATCATGGACGTCTAACCTCCAGAACTGTGAGCAGTACATTCATTATTTATGAGTTATCTAGTCAAAGGTATACTGTTACAGCAGCCCAGTTGGACTAAGACAGTTGATTTGGGGATCATGTTGTGGACCAATAAGAGTTGAAACCAAATATTGCAGGACTCATTTGAGCCCTCTACTATGATTTGGTAGTTGTACTCTCTTAGTGAAATAAAGGTGAAAATAAGAGGCTCAGGGGTCCTAGGGAGAGAGCTAGTGCAGTGTTCAACCAACCATCTTTGACATACACAGCGAAACTAGAATAAGTCAAGTAGGAGGGATGGAAGGACCAGAAGATCTGACCTTATCTTTCACTATACCCTTACCAGTACCATCATGTTATAGCCAAACAGGGCTTTTGACGTTTTTTAATCCATTTTTTTCTTTCCCACTTTTCACTTCAGTTATTTTGCTTCTACTTTCCTCAGCTTGTAAAAACTCTTACATCTCTTTTTTAAAGTTGTAACTACCTATTAAAACTTATTTCACTTCTTATTCTGTGACCCCAGGAGAAGTGATGTTTGTCTACTGAGCACCTGTAATTTATTGTTCATACCATTTTTTTCTTTTTTTTTTAATTGCCAGAGGGTACTCGTGCTCATCAGAGAGAGAAGGACGGAAAGGGAGAAAGCTCAGGGCCTGGTCATGTCACAGTCCCTTCTCCTTTCTTTCGCTATCCTGTTGGGATTTGGGGCATGGACACACATGTACCCAGTGTTGTTTTTTTTTTTTTTTCAAGCTGCCAGGGCCTGTACTCACACTGTAATCAGCCATGCGGGATCCAGCTTTCCTTAACCACTAGGCTATGGAATTGACTCTATAACAATTTTATATTAATGTTCATTTATTTAAAAAGATTTTTGGGGGCCAGCAGGTGATATAGTAGTGGTTAAGGTGCTGGACTCCCACATGGCTGACCACAGTTCAAGTCCTGGACCTGACGACTTCCTTTCTCACTTTCTTTCTCTCTCTCTATCTCTCTCTGGTAAAACTAAAAAATAAATATTGATAACAAATAAAACAAATGGAATAAATAATTCTTTTATAAAAATATTTTTATTTCCACTAAATTTAAATTCCTCGAGGAAGGGACTGTATTTTGCTCACTTTGTATTATTTCACAGTACAATCACAATCCCTTTTTTATAATATACATGTATTATTATTTGCTGAGCAAATATTGTATTATATATTTATACTAAGCATTAGGATATCACCTTTAAGAGAAAATAATGTTTTTTTACTAGGATACTTTTATTTAAGTCTGTCACTATGAGTTTATGTAGTTTAAATGGAAATTTGCAAATTAGAAAACAATATCTGAGGGCCAGCAGGTGGTGTAGTGGTTAAAGCTCTGGGCTCCCATGTGGTTGACTGAAGTGCAAAATCCCAGACCTGGTGACCTGAAACTCAAGCCAGGTGCATGTGTGCCCCAAATCCCAAGAAGAGAATGGAGGAGAAGGGATTGCAGCTTGGCTATCCCCCACAGGGGACTGATTTCTCACTTTCTTTCTCTCTGGCAAGTACATGTGTCGTACAGAAAAATCTCTCTCAAAAACAAAATACACACACACACACACACACAGAGAGAGAGAGAGTGTATCTGTGGCCATAAAAACAGAGAGAAAATGTTTTGTCTTTTCTGTGAAAATTTATTTCTAAATATTATTTCACTTTGTTCTATAGGTATGGCATGAATTGCCTTATTCAGTTTGAAGATTTTGCCAATATGAATGCGTTTCGTCTCCTGAACAAGTATCGAAACCAGTATTGCACATTCAATGATGATATTCAAGGTAATAGAACTTGCATTGCCTATGGCTCAAGAATGACATGTTTGAAATTAGTTTGTAATTTTATAATGTTTCAAAGGAAATAAATATATGCTTTCAATATATAAGTAGCTGTTAAATGCCAGGGATGTTTGATGATTTCACATGTTATTTCTCATTTAATTTCAAATATCTGAGAAATTTACTGAGACTCTAGAATATACCATATCATACATGAGCTAGAGAGTGAGCTCCCCCAGATCTGATGAAATCCCTGGTGATGAGGGCTAAACAAAGAGTGAAATGTATGCAAACATATTATTCGATCAATCCCATCGCTAAACTTCACCTCGATAATAGCTGCCTTTATACATAGTGTGACACATCTTGCTGTTTGTCTTTAATTGTACATGCATGGCTACTGCCTTTGTCTAAGCAGGCTGTTGTCTTCTCTTTAAGCTTTTCTTCTTTAACCCTCTCTAGATACATGCTCCTGCTATGCAGCCCCCCACACCTAATTACACACATCTAGTGCCTTACTATGAAAATCTCAAAAATCCTATTTTGGGCCAGTAGGTGGCATGGAGGTTAAGGCAGATGGATCTTTTATGTCCAAATGCATAATTCGAATCCTGGATTTGGCAGCTTGAAAATCAGACCAGGTGTGTGTGTGTGCACACACACACACTCAAAATCCCAAGAGGAGAATGGAGGAGTGGAGAAGGAATTATGGTGTGGCCATCACCCCCAGGAAGTGATTTCTCACTTTCTTTCTGTCTCTGTCTCTGTCTCTCTCTAGCAAGCACATGTGCCCTATAATAGCAACTAAAGAAAAAAAATTAGGAGAAAAAATATCCCATTTTATTATAGTCAGGTAGAGGGAAAAGCATAGACAACAGTCCCAAGAAGACTAGAAGAGTTCTAGCAACTTAAAATGAGATCACAAATGCCATACATTTCACTAATTCCGGTAAGTATTTTCCAGTGTTTATTTTACTTGAATTCTCAGCAGTAAGAAACATGGTTGACCTGCCCTCTTCCCTGAAATATTCTCTTCTATTGATTTCAATGTCTAGTATTCTGCTGATTACTTACTATCTCCTTGGCTATTTTTTTGTTTTGTTTTGTTCTTCTATCCTCTTGTGTCTAGCTATTAAATGTTAGAACATCTCAGTGCTTGGTCACTGGCTCCTCTCTCTCTCTCTCTTTTTATTGTATCTTCTTACATATATACTAAAAGTCTACATATTTAATTAGCATATTTAATTTCAGCACAGACTTTTTTGAATTCCAGTTCTTTACACTTATCTGTTTATCTAAAACTTCCTCTTGGTTATCCCAAAGTTATCTGATATTCAACCTACCCAAAATTAAGCCTACTTTCCCACCAAACCTGATCTTCTTCCAACTTTCTGCTCAGTGAATTCCTATGAAAAATGCAAAGACAAACACTTTATATCTCTGTTTAATATATACCAAACGTCTGCACTCTATGTCAGAAATTGAAAGATGCAAAGACATACTAGAGAGGGCAAGTGTAAATACCACAGACTGTGTGGGAGGGAGATGGGTAGGATGGGAAGTACTCAGGAATAAAGCATCTAGCAGACATAAGAATGAAAGGTTCTTTGTTGGAAATGATTATATGGTAATATCCATCTTTAACTATCAAACACTGAAAAACCGTATTGTACACTTTAAAGATGTGCTATAATTAAATGTAAATAAGAAATGATAAAATATAATTGGAAAAATTAAAAAGGAGTCTGATTGCAGGAAGTCTGAGGCGGGAACCAAGCAGAAGTCAAGAACATTGCATGTGAAGGAAGCTTGAGAGTTCACAATAAAGTATTACCCAAGCAAGTCACCACTGTGGAGGCTTTAAATAACTAGTTGTTCACCCCACCTGATCTGGCCTAAATCGGAGTCCGTACACATGTAATCTACTTATTTCCAAGCAGGCTTTGGAATATTACTGCTTTTTTAAAAAAAAAAAAAAAAGAGAGAGAAAATATGTTTAATCTCTGACTAGAGAAAAACTTTGACAAGTTATTGAAGTCCTGACTACAAATGAGCAAACCATTATGTGTATTTTTCCGTACTGAAATGGTGTCCTTATGACATATTTTTCTCCATATATTTCTTTTTCACCTTTTTAATCTTATGCTTTTCCCATTATGTCCACAGATGTAATACTTTCCTCACTATGGGCACAGACATTTCATTTCAATGCCAATGAAAATAATTATGTAACTATTACAGTCTTACCATGTAAATAAGTGTTTTTACACTGGACCCTTGAGTGGACTTTTTTCTTATTTTTAACAGATGTATTTTTTTGAGATATTTTTATGAAAAGTATATGATCAAAGGAAAATATGTGTAAAATTCTATATTACTGATCTAAAATAATTTTAACTAATATTTATTTTGATGAAAATGTTTTATGTCTTATACATCTAATTATAAATAATTTTTAACTGGAAAAATAATGCAAATTAAATCTATTAAGAAATTAGATATTGTTTTATTCTGTTTGTGAATTGCCAACAGAAATACCTGAGGCTGGGTGATTTTATTAAAAAAATACAGGTTTGGGGGCCAGCAGATGGCGTGGTGGTTAAGGTGCTAGACTCCCACATGGCCGACCACGGTTGGAGTCCCAGACCTGGCAACGTTTCTCACTTTCCCCCTTTCTCTCTCTCTGGTTAATTATAAAAAATAATCATAATAAATGAAAAATTAAATAACTCTTTTAAAAAATAAAGGTTTATTTAGGTAATGGTTTAGAGATCCAGGGTTCAACTTTTGGTGAGGCTATCAGATGGCAGAAGGCAGGATCTTAAGCAGAGGAGTGTCTAGACTGCATCCATGTGACTTTTCTCTACTTCTTTTCCTCTCTTTATATATACATCAGAATTTAGCATTAGTGACCCCTCCCTAATGACATTACACCAAAAGGTCCCACCCTGGGATACCATGAAGGAATTAAAGTTTTACTTAATAATATAATCAAGTTCCAAAACATGGATTTTGGGGGGACATCCGAATTCTAACTCATGTAACCTTGGATGACAAACTACTATCCAATCATAAAAATTACACTTAATTATAAAACCTGAAAACCATCAGGGTGCAGCTCATTTAAGTTGAATAAGTTGTCAACTTGTGGTCATTTAAAGTCAACCACAAAAAAGAGATTTGTCTTATAATAGCCTCTTTGGAATGACTTTTCTGTAATGTGACACTCTAAATATTGAAATAGAAATTTTATCCACAATAAGTTAATTAGTTTGATTGGCTAGGAATTTTTAAAAATGTGTTGGGGCCAGTAGGTGGTGTGGTGGTTAAGGGCCCTGGACTCCCACATGGCTTACTGCAGTTCAAGTCCCAGACCTGGGGGCTTGCTTTCTCACTTTCCCTCTCTCTATCTGACCAAATTAAAAAATAATAACAAGTAAAAATAAATAATTATTTTTTAAAAATGTGTTTAATATATTAATCTACATTTTTTGATAAATGTATCTCATTCTTAGAGTGAGTACTCTGGTAGTTGAAAAAGCCAGGCCAGTCCCATGGCCTAGAGATTAAGGGAACCAACTCCCTTATAGCCAACCACGCAGTTTGAATTTCAGCCCCAGTGGCCTGAAAAACACCTGAGGCACGTGTGCATGTGTGCCCAAAATCCTAACAGGATGGAGAAATGAAGAAGAGATTGTGGTGTGACTACATCCTATTGTGGGGGTGTGTTTCTCTCTCTCTCTCTCTCTCACCCCCCTCAGTCTGTCTTTCTCTGTCGGTCTGGTGAGTGCATATGCCCTCTAGCAAAAGACAAACTCAATATCAGACATGATAAAGCAGATTTTCACAAAAGAAGGAACACCATTGACCAGTAAACGTTTAAAGTTTAACCTACTATTAAATTTTTAAGAACATATTAAACAGTAAATGAAAACCTGATATTCTTTATCAAGTTGGCAGAGACTTTTGTTATAATCACAACTGTTAATGATATAGTTAGAAAATGAGTAGTTTCATGCTAATGTTGGATATGTAAATTTGGGCCTAGGCTTTAGGAAGGTAACGTGTCAGAAACCTTAAAAAATACACATCTTTGATCCAGAGACTCTATTTTTAGAAATTTGGGGACCGGCAAGTGACGTGGTGGTTAGAGGCACTGGATTTCCACATGGCCACTGGATTTCCATATGGCCAACCAGTTCAGGTCCCGGATCTGGTGGCATGCTTCTTCACTTTCCCTTTCTCTCTCTCTCTCTATCTGGTCAAATTAAAAAATAACCATAATATGGGACCAGCAGTTAGCGTAATGACGATGTCACTGGACTCCCATGTCGTCGACCACGGTTTGTGTCCTGGACCCGGTGGCTTAAACTCAGGCCAGGCATGTGGGCATGCATGCCCAAGATCCCGAGAGGAGAATGGAGAAGGGAGTGCATCCCCTCTGTGGGGTGATTTCTTGCTTTCTGTCTCTTTCTCTCTGTTGATGAGCGCACGCACCCTATACTAAAAACCTCTTAAAAAAAAAAAAGATAATAATAAATGGAATTTTAAAATAAATAATTATTTTTTTAAAAAAGAAATTTATCCTAAGAAAATGTACAAGAATATTTATTGCAATGTTATCCTTTTTTATTAATTAAAATTTTTTTATTTATACATTAAATCACTGTACAGCATTTAGATTGTGAGGACACTTTACCCACTCAGAAGCCCTCTAAAATCCCCCAAATAGAGGTTTTGTTAAAAAATCATCATATGTTCAATAAAGGCTATGATTTTAGCATATGTTGATTGAGAAAACAAAAATAGATGACATTAAGGGACATATCATAAATATTTAAAATTTACTTTGAATTTATACATTTACCAAATTTTTCTTGAGTTCTCATGTATGCAGCGCTCCATGCTAGGCAGTAGGGATAACATGGGGAATAAGGCCAAGAGGATTTCATTTTGAAATAGTTTTAAATAAATTTTTGACATTATTAACAAATTGAGCATAA